CGACAGTGATCTGCGGAAGCGAGACTTTTCCCGTGGGACGATTGCCATGTCGGGACGGTCCAGCCGTCTCCCAAACGGTCACCCGAAGACGATTATGTGTCCTGGAATGGATCCGACATCAACTACAGGTTGGCTGGTGGGGTGACCTCCAGTCCAGAGAGGGAAGCATGAAGACTAGGGGCGATGCGGATTGGTTTTTCCTGAGGATAGCGAGGACGGAAGGAATCTAGCACCCTTGAACCTTCCTTATACTGAATGTATCTCAGGCTGTTAAATCTCCTAAGTGTTTTTCTCGACATCGTCAAGGTGTCATTAACAAAAATATGAAATTCGGGAGGATAAATTAAATATAGAAATTGTGGCCGACAGAACATTATCAGTTGCGTTCAACATAGGTACTCGCAAGCATGTTCACACACCCAGCTTACATATGAGCCATGTAATAATTATTTTTGATAGACATGCTTTGTTATGAAATCATCTGAAGTGTTTGTAAAGTTCCACGATACGGATCTAATATCCTGCTATGCATTATGACCATTTCTGGTCAGGTCATGTTTTTGAACATAGGCCAAATTTTTCAAATGACCTTTAAAGGAAATAGTTCACTTTCACGAAATTATTTTTTTTTGCAACGATTTATTATTTTTTATGTTCAAAATAATCAGCAAAGAAAATAAAACCTTTTTATAACAAAAGATTTTTTTTCTATATTTTGATATAGGAAGAACTTTTCAGTTTCTGTAAGGCACACCCGATCCAGTATGAAAAGAGCATGGGTCCCGAAAATTCTTCAGAAACAGAGAAATTATCGCAGCCACCGGCATTTGGGCGATCTGCTCGATCTGATAATGTTCCCCTGAATGTCCTAATTGATCAGTACGAGAATTTCTCTAGAGTTCTCGTAGATAATTTCTCTAGTTTCTGAAGAATTTTCGGGACCCATGCTCTTTTCATACTGGATGGAAATATATGCAAGGCACACATCCTCAACGCAAGACACCTTTTTCGGGACGAGAAATAGAATATCTTTGCCTAGGGTGATCGTTGGGCTGTAAAAGCTCCTGATTTATGCTCGTCTCAGCCCAAGCTACGGAACTGCTATTCCAGTTCAAAACCCATGTTAAAAAGTGAACTATTTCCTTTAACCCTCGCCGGCACAGGGGGTTAAAATTTGTTGATGCAACCCCCCTAAAGTTTTTCGCGAATAACTCGCGTAAAAAGCGGCCGATCGCAACGAAACTTTCAGTGCCCTCGCGATTTACACCTACCCTGAAAATTTCATGACCCTGACCCAAATGACCTTTGACCTGTGACCTCCTTTCCGAGACAATGTTTGGCCGGAAACGCGATTCGGCGTATGTCGGCTCGCATTAGCCGCGCGTTTGCAAGCTTTTCGTGGTTTCAAACGTTCAAACATGTGATTTGATGTTGCTCCCATACATTAGGGTGGGTGTCAAGGTCACCTGAAGGTCAGGTCAGGTCATTGACCTTTGGTGACCTCGGGTGACCTCGGTTCACTTTTCGAGTTTTACATGTTTCTAGGCTAGTTTTTTGAGCTGAATTCGATTTAGCAACCATTTGAACATTTACGAAGTAGTTTTGGTGCCTTCGTAACATGTTACGAAGCTGTCAGAGGCGGTTGACACGTATTACGAATACCCGTCACAACCCCTACCGGTTGACCTGACCGGACCTGACCCGACCTGGTCTAAATGCTTAAAGACATCATCTGTGATCAAAACTAACACGATATTCGTGATTAGCACCCCGGAAAACCACATAGCAGCCACACTTTACTTGTGCCGTCGAAGGACGCAAAATGGCCTGTGCCGGCGAGGGTTAAAGACCAGCTTTTGATTCATTCGAAGGCTTTTGATAAGAGGAACACGAGGCTGGTAAAATTAATTTCATGCAAGTTTTAAGTAAAAACTTTTAAGTGTTTGTAGAAAAGCAATTGTTTTTCTCATAATACCGATGGTGGCAGTTGTTGTTATTTACATGCTAAGCCGTTGACCCTAATTAAATCTGACAATATTATTCAGATTTCAGACATAGCGGTAAACAAGCTAATTGTTGTGTTAGGTTAGGCTCTTTCGGTCGATTTCAGAGTGGGAAGGATGATAGGAATTAGGGGGAGACAGGGGGCCTGGGCGGGAGTCCTGGACTTCATGCTCCGCTGGGGCCGAGCCCATCACGTGGGTTGGATTGCCCTGACACATGGATAGCCCTGGGCGGTGTTTCACGGCCCCGCGCTGCAGCACGCTGCGCTGCGCCGCGCTGCTGCATTGTTGCGGCGGTTGATATGAATTCGGCTCCACGCTAGCGTTGCGAGCCATAGGCGCGAGAGCCGGGGGGGGGGGGCAGTGGGGGCAGCTTGCCCCCCCCCCAACTCTGGGGCCGTGGGGACGGTGCCCCCACAGCTTTGAGACGGAATACCACACTTTTTTGCAAATGTTTTCTTTTTTGTTGAAAAAGCCGAGGGATGAAAAATAAGTGGCCTAAAACCGGTGAGAAAACTAGATTTGGGGGGACCCTAGGTTGATCTCTATTCAATGGTGTGCCCCCAGTCGGAAAATAGTTCCCGCGCCCCTGTTGCGAGCTTCCGAGTCTGTTGATGTTTCCATGGAAATTGGAAAACCAATGCACCGGTGCGCGCAACGCACCCTGTCTATAAAACAAAATTTTACCATCGATGACCTCTAGTGACATGACCTCTGGTTATGACCCGATCCAAAGTTGGCTGAAGTATTTTTTCTTCTTTTTGCTACTTTTGACGCTACTTCGAATATCACTTAAATGCCCAAAGCTGAGTTAAAAGAATGATGCTCAATCCCCATTTCCCCTCCAACAGGGCGTGAGAGTCTAGGCATTCCTGTGTGGCACGGGCTAACAATGACTATCTCATAATCATTGTGGCCATGAACATCTACTGCCATTCTTTAACACCGGTTTCGCTGCGCTGAGCGGTGGCCGTCCCGTTTGTTGGATTCTACAGCTGGCTGGTGGAAAGCGTTACCGGCCGCCCGTCCACCGCCCGCGGGCCGGACCGAGCGGTCCCGCTGACCCTACCTGACCTGAGCCCGGCGCGATATGGGACAGGCAGACGGGGGTTCGGCTCAGCGAAGGCAGCGCCCACTGGTGCTGGGGACTTTTTTAATAGACCTACTGTACATTCCATAATCGTTTGGCGTCAAAATACCTTAGTACCTAATAAAAGTTTCGGTAGGTTCTGAAACATACATTTCCAGAATATTGTCAACGAAAGTTGACGCATTTAAAAATTATCGCAAAAAAGTGGGGTCTCAAGGGGTTTGACGTTCAAAGTAGACTTGGATGTTTTAATTAAGTTTTAATTAAGTTTAATTAAATTAAGCGCGCGTGACACTAGCACCAATTATCAGTAAACTAGAGCAAGTCAGTTACTTCTCGATATGCTAAAAGAATATGAGTTCATAGATATCTGGAGAAAGATTAATCCTCACGGTAAGAAATATACGTGGAGGAAGATACGCCCCCTCATGCAGTCAAGATTGGATTACATATTCGTTAGCGATTGTATGTTCAGAGGTAGACAAACATTAACTCGCATCGACCCAGGTTTTTTAAGTGATCACAGTTTTGTTTACGCTGAGATAGATACGTGCATCAAGTGCTATGATATTCACATTCACTTTCAAATGCACATTCAAAAAAACTCACCAAATGCAAAGTTTTGGCTACCATCGTGTAGCCAGGAAAGCCCTGATTCTCAAAAATATATATCCCAATACATGACAATCAACAGTTTACGAGATATACCTGTTTTCCTTTTGAAGGTCATTCAAGGTCATATAGTGGCAGGTCATCAAAAAAACTCACCAATATACACCAAAATTACAGGATATATAGTCCAAAGCAGCCTCCATCGAATGGTGGTAGTCGCTATTCATGACACTTCTGCGTTTTTGGTACAGGGGCCATTTTTATTTTCAAATGCCTATCTCGCTTATGTTAACACTGCCTGACTTAAAGGCCAATAACTCCCAAAGTACATCACCGTTCTCTTTCATCTTTTGGTGACACGTTTGCAAGGCCCTGGGGCAGTTTTTGGTTAAGTGCCTACCCATGACGCCTTCTCAAATCGTTTGTACGCGGGTTTGAAAATTTGATATTTTTGGTCATACGGCCAAAGTCAACAAAAAAGAACTCACCAATATGCACACAATTTACTGGATATATAGTCCAAAGTGACCTCCATCGAATGGTGGTAGTCTCTATTCATGACACTTCTGCGTTTTTGGTACAGCGGCCACATTGATATTCAAATGCCTATCTCGATAATGTTAACACTGCCTGACTTAAAGGCCAATAACTCCCAAAGTACATCACCGTTCTCTTTTATCTTTTGATGACACGTTTGCAAGGCCCCAAGGCAGTTTTTGGTCAAGTGCCTACCCATGACGCCTTCTCAAATCGTTTGTATGCGGGTTTGAAAATTTGATATTTTTGGTCATACGGCCAAAGTCAAAAAAAAAGAACTCACCAATATGCACAAAAATTACAGGATGTATAGTCCGAAGTGACCTCCATCGAATGGTGGTAGTCTCTATTCATGACACTTCCGCGTTTTTGGTACAGCGGCCACATTGATATTCAAATGCCTATCTCGCTAATGTTAACGCTGACTGACTTGGATGGGTATAACTCCAAAAGTACAACTCCGATCTTGTTAAACTTTTAGTGGCACGTTAGAAAGGCCCTGGGGCAGTTTTTGGTCAAGTGCCTACCCATGACGCCTTCTCAAAACTTTTTTACGCGGGTTTGAAAATTTGATTTTTTTTTGGTGATACGGCTAAAGTCAACAAAAAAGAACTCACCAATATGCACAAAAAATACGGCATATATACCCCAAAGTGACCTCATCGAATGGTGGTAGTCTCTATTCATGACACTTCTGCGTTTTTGGTACAACGGCCACATTGATATTCAAATGCCTATTTCGCTAATGTTAATGTAGTTGCCCTCTAGCTATAGCAGCAGTCTAGCGCCGGCAGTCACGCTATAGCAGCGGTTTAGCGTTCGATCGTCGCGACATCTATATTAGTTAAGCGCCGATAGTCACGCTATAGCAGCAGTTTGGCGTTCGATCGTCGCGACATCTATATTGACCGAGTGTGATTACGCGTGGGTATTTACAAGTACTCGAATGTGGCAGGTACTTTAAATACTCGAATACCATTCTGATGAGTATTTCCACGGTTTTCTTTGAATGCTATGAACAATATTTTGTACAACGTTTTCCGAAACAAATAATTCTGCGTTTTGTGTTTCACGTTTTCGAATCTAAGAACCTAAAACATTGTGACGTGTCAGCATTTTCGGTATGATAGTGGTGGGCACTGTCGTGTTCCTGCCACGCCCGTTTTTGTGCGGCCGACATTCTTGTTCAGGATTGTTTCTGAGGATGGTTTGATTTCCCTGGCGCTAATGAGTGAGTTTAGGAAGTGAAATCTTGCATAACTCTATGTGGATTGAATCAGATAAATGCCCGTTGTTGATGGTGATATGAAACTAGCAGATTTACCGTGATCTCTGTCTGATATCAGCACTTGAACTCTGCGCTGGATTTGTATTTGTTTGCCGCATTTCATGTATGTAGAGCTAAAGGTCCGCGATAAGGCCTAGAAACTAGAAAGTATTTTGAGAATGTTATTTTGTTTAAGGCTGTGAATAGCCAAGCCAAAGGTGTTTCAGGTTTGTCCGTGTTTGAGTACCAAACTGATAACTTTGTTTCTGCAGGAATAATATGAAGAGACTGTTTCGACCGTGTGTCAGAGGGAATCAGCCCCCCAGTTAGTCCGGCATGAGGTGCACACAGTCAGTAAGTTTAACCGATTGAACTGGTCGTTTTCAGTCTTATGATAGTATGTGCCTAGTATGTGCTACTTGCAGTCGAAATGTGTCAAGGACGAACGAGTATGGGTCATGTCAAGGTCTAATCGTCAGATCGAGTGTGGCTCAGTTGTTGTGTTAGGGAAGAGCTCACTGCTGCTATATGTGACGATTGTTCTGACGTGTTGCAGAAACGGATCTATAGACAAGATGAATACAAGGTCCTGTGTTTGACTACACCTGTTTTGGGACGGAGACATGCCGGAACTAACAGTTAACATTGCCTGACTTAAAGGCCAATAACTCCCAAAGTGCATCACTGTTCTCTTTCATCTTTTAGTGACACGTTTGCAAGGCCCTGGGGCAGTTTTTGGTAAAGTGCTTACCCATGACGCCTTCTCAAAACTTTTGTACGCGGGTTTGAAAATTTGTTTTTTTTTGGTGACACGGCCAAAGTCAACAAAAAAGAACTCACCAAAATGCACAAAAATTACGGCATATATAGTCCAAAGTGACCTCCATCGAATGGTGGTAGTCCCTATTCATGACGCTTCTGCGTTTTTGGTACAGCGACCACATTGATATTCAAATGCCTATCTCGCTAATGTTAACATTGCCTGACTTAAAGGCCAATAACTCCCAAAGCGCATCACTGTTCTCTTTCATCTTTTAGTGACACGTTTGCAAGGCCCAAAGGCAGTTTTTGGTCAAGTGTCTACCCATGACGCCTTCTCAAATCGTTTGTACGCGGGTTTGAAAATGTGATATTTTTAGTCATGCGGCCAAAGTCAACAAAAAAGAACTCACAAATATGCACAAAAATTACAGGATGTATAGTCCAAAGTGACCTCCATCGAATGGTGGTAGTCTCTATTCATGACACTTCTGCGTTTTTGGTACAGCGGCCACATTGATATTCAAATGCCTATCTCGCTAATGTTAACACTGCCTGACTTAAAGGCCAATAACACCCAAGGTACATCACCGTTCTCTTTCATCTTTTAATGACACGTTTGCAAGGCCCTAAGGCAGTTTTTGGTCAAGTGCCTACCCATGACGCCTTCTCGAATCGTTTGTACGCGGGCTTGAAAATTTGATTTTTTTTGGTCATACGTCCAAAGTCAACAAAAAAGAACTCACCAATATGCACAAAAATTACGGCATGTATAGTCCAAAGTGACCTCCATTGAATGGTGGTAGTCGCTATTCATGACACTTCTGCGTTTTTGGTACAGCGGCTACATTGATATTCAAATGCCTATCTCGCTAATGTTAACGCTGACTGACTTGGATGGGTATAACTCCAAAAGTACAACTCCGATCTTGTTAAACTTTTAGTGGCACGTTAGAAAGTCCCTGGGGCAGTTTTTGGTCAAGTGCCTACCCATGACGCCTTCTCAAAACTTTTTTACGCGGGTTTGAAAATTTGATTTTTTTGGTGATACGGCCAAAGTCAACAAAAAAGAACTCACAAATATGCACAAAAATTACGGCATATATACTCCAAAGTGACCTCCATCGAATGGTGGTAGTCTCTATTCATGACACTTCTGCGTTTTTGGTACAGCGGCCACATTGATATTCAAATGCCTATCTCGCTAATGTTAACATTGCCTGACTTAAAGGCCAATAACTCCCAAAGTGCATCACTGTTCTCTTTCATCTTTTAGTGACACGTTTGCAAGGCCCTGGGGCAGTTTTTGGTGAAGTGCTTACCCATGACGCCTTCTCAAAACTTTTGTACGCGGGTTTGATTTTTTTTTGTTTGGTGACACGATGAAAGTCAACAAAAAAGAACTCACCAAAATGCACAAAAATTACGGCATATATAGTCCAAAGTGACCTCCATCGAATGGTGGTAGTCCCTATTCATGACACTTCTGCGTTTTTGGTACAGCGGCCACATTGATATTCAAATGCCTATCTCGCTAATGTTAACGTTGACTGACTTGGATGTGTATAACTCCAAAAGTACATCTCTGATCTTGTTAAACTTTTAGTGGCAAGTTAGCAAGGCCCTGGGGCAGTTTTTGGTTAAGTGCCTGCCCATGACGCCTTCTCAAAACTTTTGTACGCGGGTTTGAAAATTTGATTTTTTTTGGTGATACGGCCAAAGTCAACAAAAAAGAACTCACCAATATGCACAAAAATTACGGCATATATAGTCCAAAGTGACCTCCATCGAATGGTGGTAGTCGCTATTCATGACACTTCTGCGTTTTTGGTACAGCGGCCACATTGATATTCAAATGCCTATCTCGCTAATGTTAACTCTGACTGACTTGGATGGGTATAACTCCAAAAGTACATCTTCGATCTTGTTTAACTTTTAGTGGCACGTTAGCAAGGTCCTGAGGCAGTTTTTGGTCAAGTGCCTACCCATGACGCCTTCTCAAAACTTTTGTACGCGGGTTTGAAAATTTGATTTTTTTGGTCATACGGCCAAAGTCAACAAAAAAGAAGTCATCAATATGCACAAAAATTACGGCATATATAATCCAAATTGACCTCCATCAAATGGTGGTAGTCGCTATTCATGACACTTCTGCGTTTTTGAACAGCCGCCACATTGATATTCAAATGCCTATCTCGCTAATGATAACGCTGACTGACTTGGATGGGTATAACTCCAAAAGTACATCTCTGATCTTTTTAAACTTTTAGTGGCAAGTTAGCAAGGCCCTGGGGCAGTTTTTGGTCAAGTGCCTGCCCATGACGCCTTCTCAAAACTTTTGTACGCGGGTTTGAAAATTTGATTTTTTTGGTGATACGGCCAAAGTCAACAAAAAAGAACTCACCAATATGCACAAAAATTACGGCATATATAGTCCAAAGTGACTTCCATCGAATGGTGGTAGTCGCTATTCATGACACTTCTGCGTTTTTGGTACAGCGGCCACATTGATATTCAAATGCCTATCTCGCTAATGTTAACGCTGACTGACTTGGATGGGTATAACTCCAAAAGTACATCTCCGATCTTGTTAAACTTTTAGTTGCACGTTAGCAAGGCCCTGGGGCAGTTTTTGGTCACGTGCCTACCCATGACGCCTTCTCAAAACTTTTGTACGCGGGTTTCAAAATTTGATTTTTTTGGTGATACGGCCAAAGTCAACAAAAAAGAACTCACCAATATGCACAAAAATTACGGCATATATAGTGCAAAGTGACCTCCATCGAATGGTGGTAGTCGCTATTCATGACACTTCTGCGTTTTTGGTACAGCGGCCACATAGATATTCAAATGCCTATCTCGCTAATTTTAACGCTGACTGACTTGGATGGGTATAACTCCAAAAGTACATCTCCTATCTTGTTGAACTTTTAGTGGCACGTTAGCAAGGCACTGGGGCAGTTTTTGGTCAAGTGCCTACCCATGACGCCTTCTCGAATCGTTTGTACGCGGGTTTGAAAATTTGATTTTTTTGGTCATACGACCAAAGTCAACAAAAAAGAACTCACCAATATGCACAAAAATTACGGCATATATAATCCAAATTGACCTCCATCGAATGATGGTAGTCGCTATTCATGACACTTCTGCGTTTTTGGTACAGCGGCCACATTGATGTTCAAATGCCTATCTCGCTAATGTTAACGCTGACTGACTTGGATGGGTATAACTCCAAAAGTACATCTCCGATCTTGTTAAACTTTTCGTGGCAGGTTAGCAAGGCCCTGGGGCAGTTTTTGGTCAGGTGCCTACCCATGACGCCTTCTCAAAACTTTTTTACACGGGTTTGAAAATTTTACTTTTTGGTGATACGGCCAAAGTCAACAAAAAGAACTCATCAATATGCACAAAAATTAAGGCATATATAGTCCAAAGTGACCTCCATCGAATGGTGGTAGTCCCCAGGGCTGGTAAAAAAGCAAATTGCGTCCCCGACCAAAAAATGAGAGCGAAAAATGACCCCGACCTTTTTCCGATTCATGTATGCAGGCTGCATGCAACTACGATGCGCGTTTCCTTAGGTTTCATTTCTATATTATTTTTTACGAGCAGTCATATGTACTAAATTGTTTATCAGACACGCGCTTCGAAATTTCCAGTTTGTTAATTAAATGTCACGGCATCACTCGGTCAGCGGGTAGCGTAACAGACGAAGAACCCGGAAAGGGTAGGGGGCGCTACGATCGTCGAACAGATGCAATAGGTGTCGCTATTGTATCGGTAGCTCACAACGACGACGGCTAGAAACTATCGACCCCGAATGAATTTACCATGACCCCGGTTCCGAATCTAGTCATTTGTCTAGTCGTATAGCTGGCTACAACTGGTCGTCAATCAACCCCGCTTGAAATAGCACAGCCGATAGCGGGGTCGGTGTCTAAGCGTCTGTTAGTATGTGTTTGATCATCTAGTTTGATTTAGTTTTCGTTAGCAACTGTCGACGGTAGTTTTGCTGTTAACGGAAGTGAGTTGTGGCTACTAATTGTTCATAACCATGTTGTAGGTATGTATTAGGTATAGGGGCTTTTTATGTCCTTGTTAAAGGGGATATACGTTGTGGATTCAATGATATCTTTTACTTGCGTTAAGTTTCTGCTTTATTTGAAAGTTATTTATTACTGTAAAAGTTTACTAAATGTGGTAATTTTGACCCCGGGTACTTGAACTTTTACTGGTACTGTGCCCCCACGACGTCAATAGGACATAACACTTTACCAGCCCTGGTAGTCCCTATTCATGACACTTCTGCGTTTTTGGTACAGCGGCCACATTGATATTCAAATGCCTATCTCGCTAATGTTAACGCTGACTGACTTGGATGGGTATAACTCCAAAAGTACATCTCCGATCTTGTTAAACTTTTAGTGGCACGTTAGCAAGGCCCTGTGGCAGTTTTTGGTCACGTGCCTACCCATGACGCCTTCTCAAAACTTGTGAACGCGGGTTTGAAAATTTGATTTTTGTGATACGACCAAAGTCAACAAAAAAGAACTCACCAATATGCACAAAAATTACGGCATATATAGTCCAAAGTGACCTCCATCGAATGGTGGTAGTCGCTATTCATGACACTTCTGCGTTTTTCTTTTCTTCTGCGTTTTTTGTGCATATTGGTGAGTTCTTTTTTGTTGACTTTGGCCGTATCACCAAAAATCAAATTTTCAAACCCGCGTACAAAAGTATTGATAAGGCGTCATGGGTAGGCTCTTGACCAAAAACTGCCCCAGGGCCTTGCTAACGTGCCACTAAAAGTTTAACAAGATCAGAGATGTACTTTTGGA